GTGTGTGGTGTGTGTGTGTGCGTGTGTGCGTGTGTGTGTGTGTGTGTATGTGTGTGTGTGTGTGTGTGCGTGTGTGTGCGTGGGTGTGTATGTGAGTGTGTGTGTATGTGTATGTGTATGTGTGTGTGTGTGTGTGTGTGTGTGTGTGTGTGTGTGTGTGTTGTGTGTGTGTGTGTGTGTGTGTGTGTGTGTGTGAGTGTGTGTGTTTGTGTGTGCGTTCATATATATAAATTTAGGTTTATATATGTGTGTGTTGTGTGTGCGTTCATATATATAAATTTAGGTTTATATATGTGTGTGTTTGTGTGTGCGTTCATATATATAAATTAGGTTTATATATGTGTGTGTGTGTGTGTGTGTGTGTGTGTGTGTGTGTGTGTGTGTGTGAAAGAGAGAGAGAGAGAGAGAGAGAGAGAGAGAGAGAGAGAGAGAGAGAGAGAGAGAGAGAGAGAGAGAGAGAGAGAGAGAGAGAGAGAGAGAGAAAGAGGAGAGAGGGAAAGAGAGAGAGAGAGGGGGGGGGGGATGTGTGAATTGAGAGAGGCAGAGTGGAAATCAGCGTTCGATTAAAATAGAAATCATCACAAGGGGATGCATAATATAAAAGAAAGCTTGTCTGCACACACAGTTCACGATTCGTTGTATTACACTAGCGTCCACTCATGGAGACTTCATATACACGTGGTTTTGAGTTTGGGAATTTAGATCTTGCCTTCTGAATAAATGGATGCCACATACAGTAACAATGCCATCACCATGAAGATTTGTGATGATTTGTGAACTGTTTAATTCATTTGATGAATTAAAAAAATGCTAACCTCAGAAACACTTTGTTTTCTTTTACGTCTGAAATTGCTAGAAATATCGTTTCATATAATCCACGGAAAAGATATATGTACAGAATCATCTTATTTATTTGATAAAGACAATGATCCAGATTGGTTATCTAAAAAATATACAAACATCATTATATATATATATTCATTTATTTATTTATAAATCGGCAATTTAGAATGTTCAGAACCAATCGCAATACCTAAATTTGTTTTTAAATATCTAATATTTTTTACGTATTCATCCCGGTATAATAATATGTACTTAAATTATATATTCTAGATCCAAAATTATTTAACAAGAATAAATAAAAGTACGTTATAGTTGAAATAATACTAACCGTTACGTTAATATCACACTGATTTCAAAACTTTGACATATACATAGATACAAGTAATAGTGAAAAAAACAAATGATTACACTTTATTCACTATTCTACACACCACTAGCATCTATATTCATAAAATTAAGAAATATAAGAAAATAGATCGTCGACTGCGATCCGAGAGACGTGGCAACAGTGTGCGCGGAAGCGTCCTCACGGCCACGCGCAGCTCCCTCGGTCACTCTCACCGGGCCGCCACTCCTGCAAGGTAACACTCGCTTGGTTCTTCCGTAAATGGCATTTATTTTAAGGTTATTGTAGGAATAAAGGTTACTTGAAGAAATTGTTTGGTAGAAGGGAATTCCGTTGTCCGCGGTATTCGTTGGTTGGTCTATATAAGTGTGTGAATTAAATATTTATAAGGAAGAGTAAACCACATGGCACCACGTGGGTGACATGTGTAGCAAAGGAATTCCATTTTTTCCTTAGGTTAGTTGCATATTTAGTTTGTTTCCTTATTAGAAAAGCGTTTCGACTTGCGATTCTTACATAATCGAAAGACTGCTCTGCAAATAGAGGAAATTCGGCCACGTATTCGTGAATATCGCAAAGTGTTCCATACTTGCACTCCCAAATAGTTGCTGCCCTTGAATATGCTCGCGATAAGCGTGAATTTGATATCTTCTCACTACTAGGCTGAGACGAATAGTCTCCATCTATTGCATTTAACTTGTGTAAGAAACTGCTTGCATATGCAGGGCTTATCTATGAGTTCTCGATAACTTGGAAATCCTGATGTCATGTGGATAGCTGGCTCACGCCGGCAACTCCACAAGCGACTTTGGAGGCTGCGTGTGTGCAGTCGCACCCTGTCGTGCATCGGAGAGCAACCGGGTCCCCTGGCCTCGGCCAGGTGTGGATCAGGAGCTTGTATATTCCAACACGCCCTTGAGCTTTATGGCTTTGAAAGGAAGTGAAACCATACAAGCCACAATCTTTTTTTTCATGTAGGTCATATCTTTTTTAAGTGTAAGTACAGCATTAACTTTAGGTATTGCTAGTCTTAACTGTGATCCTAATTGGGTTCATTCTATTTTTCAGATTCTTAACTTCACAATGGAATTGATATGGAAGTGCAGTGGTGTGGGCAACACTAATTTCAAAAGAACTGGTAAGTAAATATTTCCTAGTCGGCTTTTTTTTGGGCCAGTGCATAACTACCAAGCTGGGCTACAGAAGGCCTTCACTTCAAATCCTCAGTGACCTTTTACTTGCAGCCTTAATGTACTTAACCCAATGCTGCCGGGGAAAATCAATATAAAAAATAATTGAAAATGCGTATTTTTGTGAAATGTCTCTGCACATAGATGGCTCTGCTAGTGCTTAGTCTCCAAATAAGTCAGATTAGATCTTCATACCTTATCTGATTAGTGGGGGGGGGGGGGAATGCTTTTAATTGTACTATGAATATCAATGGTGGTTTTTATTATAAACGGTATAATTACTGTTATCTTGTTTGGCCGTTACTAATTTTTGTAACTACTTTTTGTAAGTCAAAGTAAAGAGTAAACGAGCAAGGCAGTCGGTACTCGTAATTTGCTCATTGGTGACTTGGTACAAGTGTAGCCATCCGTGTAAAAACCTTGACTGTTAAACTCGTTGGGCAGAGCTTGCACATACATGTCACTCCTGTCGGCATTGGGTTAAACTTCTCAAAGTCTGAGCGTTATTTTTGTTTAAAACAGCTTGGTATTGGTTAGGGTGAGTAGCCAGGTTTTGGTCACCTGATGCCTCTGTAAAGCTTGTAAAACCTGTTTAAGCTAAAGTTATCAGTAATGAAGTAGTAACTCGAAGCACTGCAAATTAAGTCATAAATAGCACAATGTAAACCTGAACACTGGGGTCTAAATATTTGGATGGCCACTGAACCTTGTTTATCAAAGATCTGTACCTGATGTCATGTGGATAGCTGGCTCACGCCGGCAACTCCACAAGCGACTTTGGAGGCTGCGTGTGTGCAGTCGCACCCTGTCGTGCATCAGAGAGCAACCGGGGTCCCTGGCCTCGGCCAGGTGTGGATCAGGAGCTTGTATATTCCAACACACCCTTGAGCCTTACAGCTTTGAAAGGGCGTGAAACCATACAAGCCACAGAATATTCAACTCTTTTGTTAAAGTTTTCATGTCTTGGTTCTGTACCAGTAAATATAAATTGCTTCTTGGTTTCAGATCACGTTCGTGAAGTCGTATTGGATGTGAGGTAGTTCGGGCTTCCTGTTATGGACAAGATGGGTAAGTCTCTCTCCATTTCTTGTTTCTAGTCTTAAATGTCCAGCATAATTTAGAACAGCTAAATTGGACATGGTTAAGCCCTTCTTTGGAATGGCTTGTGAACCTGATGTTGTGGATAGCTGGCTCACGCTGGCAACTCCACAAGCGGACTTTGGAGGCTGCTTGCATGCAGTCGCACCCTGTCGTGCATCGGAGAGCCACCAGGTCCCCTGGCCTTGGCCGGTGTGGATCAGGGGCTTGTATATTCCAACACGCCCTTGAGCTTTACAGCTTTGAAAGGAAGTGAAACCATACAACCACAAAACCCATCTCATTTTCTAAGTTAATGTATTTTTCTTTTCCAGTTATTAATCCTTAATTTCCTTGTTTCAGATGGTATTGTACAAGATGAAATGGGTGGGAAGAAAGTGCTGTAGCTGCTCTTCTGCAGCAGAGGTGAGTCCCCTGGCTTAAGTTGATTGAAAATTGGGAAGGGGGTGGTAAGTTAGGCTTTGAAATGAAAATTAACTTGATTTCTGTTAAAAGCTAGAACAAAATATATCCTGGTATTTTATCCCCTGCAAGTGAATGCCTTTCCTCATTTAGTTTAAATATACTAGATTTAATGCAGTGTAGGTTATCCTGCTTTTGCATTTTCCTGTTTGAAGCTGATCATGATGGATGTTTATGTATTGGTAATTGATATTTTTATGATGAACATGCATTCAGACTAAGATGTTGAAATATTCATGTTGCCTTCCTTCTGATTGTACCTCCTTTTATCTAGGGAGAGAAGGTGGCTTTCAAGATATTTAATTTTAAAATTTCTTTTTCCAGAAGAAAGTAAACAGATCTGCTGAGTGGCAGCTGTTCTTTTAACCTCTTGCTGCCGGCCATACCTATAGCCGTCATAACAAACGTACTTATGATGAGTACTACTATATGCATCACGACGTGCTAGAGCGAGTCAAGAGGAAAGTTTACTACACCTAGTAAACTCCCGGGCCAAATGGAAGGATGGTTGAAGTTAGATTTCGGATGCTGTCATTGAGGGGTTCATGAAGGTATTTTTCAGCTGCAACACAAGTTGGTATGAAGGGAATTGGGTTGTAGAATTTGATGGCTCAAAATAAAGTAGGCTTAGCATGCATTGTTTTGTGCCCGTATTTTTAGTCTTGGTTACCCAATTCCATTCAAAACTCTTATGATGATTAACATTATTCAGACAAATGTGTTGATATTATATGTTGCCTTCCTTCTGAAATACCCCTATATCAGTTCCTTCTATGTTTTATTGCATGATATTTAAATACATCCTTTTTCTTTCCAGCCTGTGGACTAGCATGAAATGCTGAAGTTGTCATCAACTAGGTATGTACCTTTTTTTTTTTTTTTTTTTTTTTTAAGTAACTTGCACTTGTAATGACAGTATTGAAACTGTCTAGAGTTGCAGAAAAAAAAAAAAAAATAGGGATTACATGCCATATTTTTCTTTTTAGTGGAACTTCAAACAACCTCCTCATAGATGTGGTACTTCAGAGAAGTTCTTGTTGAAAGCAGCCACAAGTAAGTTTTTATTACACTTTTTTTATAATATCTTGTCTGATGATGACAACCTTGAGCTATTAATGAACATGTATGATTCCGAATGATAGGCCTGATCATGGTTTCTGAACATAAAAATGTACTATGTATGTGCATAGAAGTAATGCAGCCTTTACTCCTTACAGGAATTATCCCTGCTGTGGTATTAACGTGGATTATACAGCTGTCCAAGAACAAGTCTTGGAGGATCATAATGGGATAAATAAAGAATTAAATAATACTCTCTTATTACATCCTAAAACATTTGGCAAAGTTAGTCGGTAGAAGCTAATCTATAGGCATAG